TATAGACCATCTACTGCTTTAAATTCTCCATGGGAACTTGGCTGAAAGCAGCACACTGCATTCATAAGGTATGGCAATGCTAAATCAGTTAATTTAGACTGATGTCTTTATGATTTGCAAGAGTGCAGCATGGAAGCCAGTCTCCCTCACTTGCTGAATAAACAAAAATTTGTTCAGCTCAAATAAAATTTGATGAGGAGATAATTTTGCGAGCATACAGCATAAAGGTCCCTCTCATGTGCAGGGGTGCTGCACTGAGGGCAAATCAACTGAAAGTCTGAAGAGGTTGTTCAGCATACGGTGGACAAGATGATAGAGGGAGATATGGCTGATCTGGTCCACCATTGGGGACAGGCCTCCACGTGCCCACAAAACAGTCAAAAGTCCTTTTTGTACCTTCAAAAGTGATCTTTTTAAACTTACAAGCCTCTAAAATCCTCATAAATACGTTACTGGCTTCTCACAATCAGACTGGAATCCTAAAGGAACCAATTTTATGACTGGTTTAATGAATATCCCACTGCATTATGTATTTAATCAAATATCCCTGTTGGATTAAGTAACTTTAAAGAGAATTCCAACAACATTAGACAGTTCATTCAACATTTTTTGGCATGAACAACTCTCAATCAAAGCTAAAACCCACAGAAACAAGCCTGTAATCTGGGATTTCATCAGGAGATAAATCCTGGAGCTGCTCCACTGACAATGAATTGGAACCTGACATGGTGGGTTGTGCAGTGGCTGTCTTCAGTAGGTTTGACAGTTACTGTAGGCGCTACCAGTTATGAAGCAGAGCAAATCTCAAATACCTTGTGAAACCCTGGGAACTGTTATGCGCAAAGTCGCTATCAGTCAGTGTCAAAAGCAGTGACGAATTATGTTTCTTGGATGCAGTTTTGATTATGTGTTTCGTTGGAAGAATTTGGAAAAACAAATGTGAATTTTTCTTTCCTTTTCAGGACATTAAAAAGAACCTCCCAACTAGCGTACTGCAATCCCTGATATGTCCCTTGGGTAAGATACAATTGGAGCTTTTTAGTTTGGAAATAACTTAGAGGTATTAAAAAAAAGTCCAAGGTTTCAAAACACCCAAAACCATGGAGATGAATTCACTGAAAGCCTTTCTTTTAAAGGGATATGTCTATTTAAGAAGCGGCAGATAAAAAACAGATGCATTTCATTGCCAGTAAAACTCACCTGGAAATAAAATCTAATTCCATAATCTCCCTCAGTAAGTCAGGAGCAGAGATCTAAGCGATCAACTGATGAGTGGCCACATGTTAACATCACATTTCTGTGTGCGAGGTGGGTTCATTCATTCATTCTAGCGCGTGATAATTGTGTTGTTGGTTGTACTTCTGCAGTGGTCAGAGGTGGCAGAGCGAGGGAGGCTCTTTTGGCAGACAGAAGAGGCCACTTTGATCTCTAAAATTCCCTATCTTTGCCTTTGTTGATGATGGAATACCTGGGAGAAGGGATTTTCAATCAAGGGGCCTGCATGGGAATCCCCCTGACAACAAGAACCAAAAGCACACGCACATAGAAATATGTGAAAATACACAAAACCCCCCGGAAATAGCTCAAAATCAACAACACCCATAATAGGAATCCTGCTCTTTTTTTAAGCGAGCATCGGAGTGTCTTATGTATCATATCAGATTTTCCTCCTTTGAAGTCATAAGCTCATAATGCCTACATGTGAAAAGCTTGTTTTTTTCCATGTACACAGAGCTGACAACAGATTCACTCCCCGACTCTTCCTCTGACACATACACAAAGACACTCGCTCTGTCCCACATATGACAACACTCCATGTTTACCCCTCTGACTTCCATCCCACGCATCCTGTTTGTGGCAGCATCTTCCATTGTTCCTGTCCATATCTACCTGTAGCAGGTACAAACTCTTTATCATGCACACTCTTTCCACTGAAGCTGTTTTCATGGATACAGTAGGAGGGATCCCTGTGCATGTGCTTTTGTTTTGTTATCAACATTTGGCTGCTTTATCATTTCTTAAGTGGATGGAAAAAAAAGGAGGGAGGATGGAAAATCTGCTGATAAATGCAGAACACAAAGAAGAAGCCACACAAAGAGAAACCCCCAGTGAGACAAAGCTGTTTGGATTTAGCTTTTGCAAAGTGGTAGGTAAAACGTTTTTTTTTTTTCTTCTGAGAGCCAGGGTGGATGAGGTTTAAGAGAGCCTTGCTGAATCCAGTGAAAGCCCACATTTGATTGCTAAAAAAGAGGGCACCTTTTGGAGCAGCACCCCAGCTGATGTCACCGTGAAGGAAGCGCTTTGAAGGGGATGGGGGCAGAGGGACATCCAGGCATCACAATGCAGTGTTGTGTGCCAGCAGCATTACAAGGATGTGACGCTATCCTTGTGAGGAGTGGGCTTCACAATATAATACGAGCATCTTGATGAGGGGCCTACCAAAGTGCACCGACAAAGTGATGGGGATGTGTTTTTTGCAATCAGGGATGGGTAAACAAGTGATTTAGCCCCATATCTCCAAATCTCCCAAAGAAAACTGTAAATTTCAGGATCACTTACGTGGTGAGTGGACAAAAACAGCTTTATTTCGCACCCAGGGTCATTAAAGTTCATATTTCCAGGTGAGAGAAATATGCAGCATCCATAAAATGTACAAACTATCCAGCAACAGGATATCAAAGTATAAAACCAATCTCACAAGATTGAGAAGTAGTGTGACACTGCCCTCTAGTGTCTGAAGTTTAAAGGTTTTTAATTCACTGTACAATGCATGTTGTCAGTGTGAAACATTCAAACAGTGTGTAATCCACATTTTGGCGAGCAGAAAATTTAGTAGTTATATTTTAACACTTTAATCACCTTGTCTTTGTTCAGACCGTGTGTGTGTGTGTGTGTGTGAAACTCACACAGGTGTACACCCCTCCTGGTATTTTGGTATTTCCTTTGAACTGTGGCTTCAAGATAGCCGCAGATATCAGCATGAAAGAATCTCCCCACCTGTGCTTGATTTGGGTCAGTTATGAACCAGAGCTCAGATGGAAAGAAAACAAGAGCACTGCTATGAGTCATATTCTTGTGAGGAAAAAATAGCAACAGAGATAAAATAATGAACAAATGAGACCAGTGATTTGATTTTATAAAGCATGTTAATGACTAAATGTGAAACAAAGTAGTCACTATAATATTTAGGCCCTGTACACAAATAAGTGTCAACTTTTTTAACTTATTGTTGAACACAGAGTACACAAAGTACACTCATAGCCTCAAGCACAATATCACTGAAATTCTTCTTTGTAGAAAAGTCTCCATTTTCAGTTTTACTGTCATATGTTGCATTGTGTAGACTTTTTTCAGTGTTTGAGTCTGTTGAGGTTGAGAATACTTACTGTCACCCAGTGCATAATTCCATAGAAACCACTAACAGTATATGTAAGATATAGGGCTGCACAGTTAATCAAAGTATTAAATTGCAAATTGCAAGTGGAATATGCAAATCGCAAGAGCTGCAATGTTTTGATGAGGGTATGAAATGTGGCAAGACAGCGTTATAATGAAGTAGTGTAGTGCTGCAGAGTCTACAAATCTTGTTCTCCAGATTGAAAAAAACATGTTTAGTTGGTAAAGACCCCCCATAAATTCACATCATCATGATTCTATTGGGTTTTTTTGTGCAAATGTAATTTATGGTGCAAAAAAGATGATTCCCACAATCATGGATCATATTGCACTCGTAATGTCTGTCAAAATAATCACAATATGATGTTTTTACCATATGGCGCAGCCCTAATAAAATATACTTTTGGTTTGGTATACATTTACATTTTCAGGTATTCTCCTCCCGAGTATAAAATGACCTGTGGCTCTTTGCTGCGTGCCACCCAGCAAAGTGGCATTCTCCCACTTTCCTGTCAATCTGTGGATGTCTTATCTAATAAAGGCCCCCAAAAAAATGCCAAATAAATGTTTCCTTTAAATTGAAGTGGTTCTCCATCTTTCCACTTCCTCCTGCACAAACCTGTTAACGTTCCTTATTGAATGCTGACACAATTCTAATCAGATTCTTTCCATGAATGAAAACTGATATCATTTTAGGTAACCGCAGAGATCTTTCCACATCTTCTCCACAATAATTATATTCAGCTGCTGTAATACTGTTCTATTCTCTCATTTCCAAAGTTTTGAAAAAGTAATTATGTTGGGTGTCTGTTTTTGGTTTAATTAAGATTCAACTGGTTATTTTCCCCACTCTTTGTGTAGACGTGCACTTAAAGATAATATATAGCTGACTTCCCATCCTATAGATACATGTGGCTCTACCTGAGGTAGTATTCTTTACTACCACAAGGGGTCGTCATTCATCTATCACTGGTCTATATTAATAGGAGCTCCTGCCTTCTCTGTTTTCTCTTTCAAGTCTCCATTCCCAAGACAAAATATAAAACCTACTACTAAATTCCTTTATTTATCAGTAGTTTTAAATCTGTGATTGAAGAATATTAAAAGTGACTGATATGATATTGATCCATTTAGTGTGACATCAACCCTTGTACAACGTGTGTGGATTGCCTGCTTCAAAGCAAATACATACTTTTAAGGTGACTAAACTGTTTTTTGGTGTGGTGGGTGGTTGTATGGTGGTGATGAAAGGGCATGCCACATCTATTCACCCATTTACCTTCCCCTCAAATCACTTACAGACTTTCACAAAGTTGATCCCATACCTCTGTAACCTACTACTGGAGAGGATAACAACAACAAAAGAATAGTGTAAATAGCATAATAATATGCTCATCAAGCCATGTGGTATTATGCAGATGAACTTAGTACATGCCTGGGCAGCTCCAGAGGGAACTTGAATGGAGAGGATTAGTACCAGATGTTCATTGGGACCCAGTGGCTAGCCAATAAGGAGGAGGGCCATTTGGTCTGAGGGAGGAGCTCAGTCTCTCCTCTGAGCTCAAGATTTATTCTAACAGGTAGTTTAAAAACCAAACAGGTCAGCAGCAGCAGCAGCAGCAGCAGCAAGACAGTACCCAACGAAGCAGTTATCCTGCGAGGAGGACGTTTCTTTGATCGCATTTTGTTTCTGGATATGCCCGGTCGCTGCTCTCCAGCATGCTGAGCAGAAAGGGGTCTTGTGCGGGGATGATGAGCGCTGCAGCCGGGGTAGACCGCAGCAGGGTCGGGGAGAGACTGCAGGCGGCTCTGGCCGGGCTGCAGGAGCTGCATCTGCTGAAGGACAGACAGAGCGACATGGTGAGCTGGGCGCTGAGGGTGGACCGAGAGGAGCCGGTCTCTTCTGTCCACGTAGGCCCGGAGGGTCCCATGATAATGGGGGCTGAAGAACAGCGGCTGGAGGCGACCCTAACATCCCTGAAGCAACAGCTGGTAGGAAGTCATTTAAATTAAAAGCCATAAAACAGAATCATTAAAATGCCTCTGTAGGGACGTGCACAGACAGTAGTATGGTGGCGCCACAGTATTTGTACTTGTATTATAGTGCTTATAGTGCTCACATTTACCCAGTTTAATTCTCCTTGGAATAAAGTCATCCGTTTGAATGTTGCCGTCAGCTGATGCTCATGTGCATTCCGTCTTCAATTATTACCAGACACACTTTCATGCTCTCAGCTGGGGGTAGGAAGTAGGATAGGTGTCATAAATCAAGGTTCATTGCAGGACCAAGAGGACTTTGAGTTGTGTATGTGCGCGCACACCGTGCATGTGTCAGGCTGCAGGGGGGCAAACCTCAATCATTAACCACTAATGCCAGGAAATATTTAAAAGAGAGAATTGCGGTGGGTTTTTTTAAAGGTGGATTTTCTGCTGTTAATGACACTCAGAGGGAGTCTCTGTCATGAGAGGCCCCTGAGTGTTGGAGACAACTGGCTCTGTCGTGCTTTCCATGACAAGCTTTTTCCATGAAGGCTGTTGTTACAGCAGGAAGCATAGGGATTAAGGTGTTATGTTTGACTTTTAGTAGAACATGTATCAATGATGCATTGTGAAGTACCAGGATGACATTAAATTGTGTTTTACATTCATGCAAAGTGGATCCAATACCACTGGCTATAAATAGACTTAATGCTCCAAAAACATATTCCAATAACTCTTCCGTTTCAACAGAAATCTGAACTAACTTGATCTTACAAGAGAATGAAAGATTAATTAAATTATGCATTTTGCAGGCAATGACCTCCAGCCCTCATTTTAAGGAACAACTGTAACAGTAAATGCCCAGCCCTAACTGCAAAGCAAACAGCCCTTCACCCCAACCCCCCAAGCTCCCCTCCTCTAGTAGTTTACACAATGGCCAGGCCCTCGCTGTGGGGGAGAAATGAGTTACCCACCACTGCTTCTTCCATGCTCCCCCATGTCCTGCTGGGGTTAATCATCAGCCACAGCTGAGTCGCTTTTGTTTTCCTGATGGCTGTACATTAGAGCATCTTTTATCTGAACAACAGACCTCGTCTTGGCTCAAATTATCGCGTTGCTAACCTTCATCCTCACTTTCCTGCTTAATGTGGCTGGTCATACACCTGTACAGATCATTTATGTGTACTTAATGTGTGTGAGGAGCTTTACTGCGTTACATCCAGCTCTTGAACTCCCTCCTTTCCTTAGAAGAGACATGCCGTTTTGGTTTAGGTTGCACCACACATATTTTGGGGTTTGGCTAAAATTGAATGTGTTGTCTATTTTACAGTCTCGCCTTCGGAAACAGGATGTAGGCCTGAAGACTCACTTGCAGCAGCTGGATCAACAAATCAGTGAGCTGAAGCTGGATGTAAGCAAGGCCTCCACAGAGCAGCTGGAGAGTGACAGCAGGCCAAGTTCAGGTGTGTAGGCACACGCTCAAAAACCCCTACAGTTGTTTGCTTTATAGCATGTACTGTAACAAAGCACACAAGCTACCATCACATGTATGTATGTAAATACTGAGAACAATACTCATGTGCTTAATTGTTCCTGCTCTCTCCAGGTTTCTATGAGCTCAGTGATGGCGGCTCTTGCTCACTGTCCAACTCCTGCACCTCCGTGTACAGTGAGTGTCTGTCATCCTCCCAGACAAGCCTTCTTCTCCTTCCCATGAGCACTGCAAACTCCCACATTAGCCCTCCATCACAAGTCGATGTATTTCGCCGGCGTTCTGCTGATGAGAGCACTACCCAGCCCAACCCTCCGCGGGGCACAGGCCTCCATCTGGGCAGCAGCAGGATCCGAGCAAGCACTACTAGCACCGAACAGGCACGGCCGAGACCTGTGTCAACAGGTAACCAAATCTCTTAATCTCTGATTTAAGATCTCTTATGTAGCAATGGGAACCGTGCATCTGTCGTTACCAAGCAACTCAGTGTGTATTCTGCTGCATAATAACATATAATTTCTCTGTGGATGAGTAATTTGAAAGGTTAATCAGTATTTTTGTGTTGTTTATCAGGTGATCTTGATAGGATGATGGCTCAAGGGCTGGGCTACTACAAATCTGTGGATGCAAGGAAACCCTCAATGTGCACAAATGTAAGGACCTCCACAATGGACCCCAAGTTCCAAAGTAACCTGGTTTCCCGCAGTGGGACTGAAGTGTACCAGTACCCCAGCCCTCTGCACGCTGTGGCTCTGCAGAGCCCGATATTCTCTCATGGGGGCGACCCAGCCACACCCGGACTTCTAGAGGGCCAAGGACCCCCAGCGAACCGTTCTGACACCCTCCATAGGGCACAAATGGGTTATGAGACCAAGAACCTGGGTTACATTGACAAGCTCCTCCTGCGCAGCTTGAGCAGAATCCAGAGTGAAACGGGCACAGACACTATGCAGACACACAGTGACTATCACAAGAAGCCCACTGAAGTTATAACTGTGTTTCCTGAAGTGTCACAGAAAGAGTTGCAGCCTCTTCCAGCCCAGACCACAAACATCATCCCACTAAATAGCGACCAGAAGAGACACTGCATGATATACTCCAGCCAAGAGCTAGCTGATAACACAAACCAGTCCCAGTCAATCAGAGCCCCTGAGGTTTTATACCGATACTCCTGTCCTGCTGCCACAAGGGAGTACAGCTCTGATGAGGTCACTACTGCATCCCTGAGGAAGAATGATAGACCCCAAGGAGAATATGGTAGTGTAGCAAGAAACAGTTCAGAGAAAAGATGTGGGGATAAGCCAGAGTCAAGGCCACAAGAGAGGAAGGGCCATAGGCAAAGATCGGCGATGGCCCACAGCTCCAGCACAGAGGAGAGTCAAGGCTTTGAGGTTCAATCTGGCCACACAGCTTCCCCTGAGTTTGTCCATGCCAAATTTGTCCCTGCTGGATCTCAGAGGGTCAAGGTGAGACAGGCAGACCGTAAAACCAAAGCTGTGAAACTGAGAAGAAAAAGCAGTGAGAAGCCTCGAGCACTGAGGCAGCAACATGGCTACTCCTCCGGTGAAAGGACCAGAGAGACCAGTGGTGGAACCAAGGGGGAACAAAGAAGATCAGGGAAAGGAAAAGTGACCCAGAAATGTACCACCTGTCACACAGAGGAGCGCAGACAGTGCTCAGGCTCAGACTCCAGCCACTGTAGCCCGGGACTCATTTACACACACAAGGTCCATCCTAAGCCACAGCCCATCCCTGCTGTTACAAAGTCCAGCAAAAGCCGCAGACTGCAGAGCATGGAGTACGAGCAGCCTGCAGAGCAGAGGAAGAGGAGGCAGGGAGCTGCCAAATGGCCGTCCGATGTGGAGATGTTCCAGGGCCCATGTGGTCAGCGTCAGAGGTCGAAAGAGCCCCATGTTCAGGCACCAGGGATGCAGATGGTCCGCAGTGTGAGCGCCAAGTCAGGCCAATGGATAGGACCTCCCCGCTCATTAAAGTCCTCCATGTCCTCTAATTCTTTCCTCCACAATCTTAATGCCAGATACCCTCCAGCACCATTCCACATGTCCAGCCTCTACCCACCCAGATGTGAGTCTGAGTACTCAGCCGAATGCGCCTCACTGTTTCACTCCACCATTGCTGAAAGCAGTGAGGGGGAGATGAGTGATAACACCACCAACCGCTTTGGAGATAGCGAATCCAGCCAGAGCTTCCAGTCCTTCTCCGACTCTGACAGCAGCCTGTCCCTGGACGAAGAGGACCAGGTGGACAGTCAGGGGGAGGAGAGAGGTCTGGTGTGGGCTGAGGCCACTCTGGGGCCCACCGCTGCTGGACTGGCCCTCCAGCAGCTCCCACGCCCTGAGCCATCAGCCTGCCGCATCAAAGCTTCCCGAGCCCTGAAGAAGAAGATTCGTCGGTTCCAGCCTGCCTCCCTGAAGGTCATGACCCTGGTGTAGCAAAGTTTCCCCAGGCAGAATGAGAACTGTTGGGAAAACACAGAGGACTGTAGGAACTGCTTTTTAACTGCGTTTGGAATGATCTCACCTGGTCCTTCAACACAACACCCTTAATCATCACTGAGAAGCAGCAATTATACCGGACTGCATTTGTGCACTGATAGTTTTGTTAACACAAAAAAATGTTAAGAATTTACAATTGTTGAACCTGAAAACTGTACAAAATGGTGCAGGGTATAAAAGCATGTATAACACAATTATTACACTTACACTTAATTTGTAAATATTTATGTTGTAATGAAAGTTCCTCATAGCATGTGGCTGCAATTGACAATTTCATGGACATTTCTGTCATATAATTGTATGTACCGGAGAAATAAAACCAATCTTTTTACATTTATTATTGCAAATGATTGTTTATTTTCTGTTACTGTCTTAATTTTGCTTATTAATTATAACTACCCATATCCATCTTCCTAGAATAAACTTATTTAATAGTACAGTAATAGTGTTTTTATGTATCCTTCTTTTTTATTTTATCTTGGGACTGGTAATGATATCACTGTCCATTATTATTATATTATTAATAGTGCACATCTTTTCTTCATCTGTGAGTAAAAACATTTGCAACATCTCATCTGCCAACTTCTCTCTTCCTCTGGTGACTATTTATCACACATGTTAAAAAAAAATCTCCACTTAATCCTCACAAGCGTCCCACTGAGGCAGACCAATTCAGCACAGATAGTGCTAACGGCTCCTTATCTGGTTTCCTGATTCCTACCAGCTGCTGGTTTAATAAATTGCAGCTTCAACAATCAACCCAGACAGTCATGTTTAATTAGAGGGCGAAACTCATCAGCCTCAGTCATTTAAATGTAAGCAAACACACTTAGTACTAAAACACACAGTCACACTCCTACAATTTCCGAAACAGACATTAAGATGACAGTAGCAGAAGCTCAGGTTTCTGAGCAGAGACCTGAGGTTTTAAAACAGTTGGTGTATATGGCAAGGGGCACATGGGATTTAGAAGGAATGACAGATGATAAGAGGCTCCTCATTTCTGAGCTGTCATGAGGAGATTAAACCGAGGGCAGCTGCACAGAGTTGCCCAATAATCTCATTTCCAAAATCTGCCTTGGTATCTTTCCATTAAAATTCTTTCAAAGACGGGGTGAGTAAAAGGGCACTCCAGAAGGTAAGTAGTCCAGTGACTGGCCTTCCAAACATCAGCACTCTCTCCTGTGGTCATACATAATAATGTGTTCTCCCATTAGGCAGCCACTGTGACCTTTTTTGACCATTTCCCAACTAAGAAGCTTATAGGACTGACAAACATTTTCACCATTTCATCAAATTTTCCTTTGAAGTTGTGTTCCCTGCAGATATAATTACTGTGGAGACCATTATTTTTAAGACTCATGGATCGTTCATTTGTCCATTCATTTTCTCTCCTTTAACTAGAAACGTTCAGTTTGCTTATAAACAAGAAAAGGTGTCATTCTTTGAATAAAAGTAAAAAGAATATTAATTCAGGTACATTATTTTCTCTATACATCACAACACAAGACAGGTCTAAAGGCCAAAAACCCCAATACACATCAAAGATAGCATTTTCAGTTTAGCAAGTTGTTACAATTGAATCAACTTATTAGGATTTGTACATCCAGCTGACCTCTGTCCTCTTCGCAAGAGTGAGAGCGAGTGGTCGGTGGGATTAGTGCTGCTGTTTTCAACCCGGCTCAGAGGGAGCATGACGGGCGCTGGACTTGTCTTTGATGTTGAGTATAGCAGGACCGTGTCGGCTTGACCTTGTGTGCTTGCTGACCTTTCCAGCTGCAGAGCTAGGTCTTTTCTGTGGACACATCTCCCCACAACAGAGAGGTCAGGGCCCTTTTTGTTCCCTCGCTGTCTTTTTTTGTGTTCAACATGTCTGTCATTTACTTTCTTTTGACTCATTTTTGGAGTCTTTTGTAAGAAGGCAAGTCTACCTGTCCACTGCAAGCCACCTTCCTAAAACTAAATGATGTTTTTTTTTCTTGCAGAACCAGTACCATAACGACTACAAAATGTAATTGGATGCTGGATAAAGATAATTCGACTAGGGAATGAAACCTCCGGGGGTCGAACCCGAAGCATCAACCTGTGCAGCAGGTGTACAGGTGCATTTGGTCATGATAGTTTATACGCTATAAGTGCAGATGGTGGGGGTTACCACCACACTGCTTTATAAAATACTCCCTATGGATGGCTGTCAAGTCACACTGAAGGACTACAGATGTCGTGTGGGATCTCATTACACAGAAGTGCTCTGACTTCGACATCATATACATGAGAACACATGGGCAAACAGTCGTATCTAATCAAGATCATACACCTTCAGCTGACACTGATTAAAGGTAACTGTACTCCTTTAACCATAACAAAGACAGAAACCTGATTACTTTTTCACATGGCTAGTTCACTTTGTTAAACTTTTACTTTTACCGCAGTCTGGATAGAAAAATTAAAAAGCAATAATAACATATCGGAGCAATAAAGAAACTGGAAGTGCGTGGTTTAACCAGCAAAATAAGAATAACAGATTATTCACTTCACACTCACACCCAGCTTTCTTCACATGTGCTTTCTAAATCAGACTGCACTAGGACATTGTCAACGTCCAGTGAGATATAAATAAGCGGATGTGTCATGCCATACTGCTCTGAGTACCGGGCAGGTAAACACTGAGTTAATGCAGAGAACGCATGCCTCTGAGCAGCTTTGGACAGTGATCTTATTACACATCAGGTCACCGTACTCCTCTTTCCCTCTACTACTCCTCTTTCCCTACACTACATGCATCTTATTTGATTAACATTTCATTCAGACCTCCATGTCTAAAGTAATCCAAAGGGGGATTATCAATATGTAGCCAAATATCAGATCCAGCATTGTTCAGTAGATTGAACAATGTGACATCCGTAAAACAGGAGAAAAATTGCGAACAATCGCAAGAGAGAGCAGAAAAAGGGAGTAAAAATAACAAAGGGTGTGCCGCAGACAGGTGCTAATTAAACTTTGACTTGGTTCACATTAGGTCACAGTTGGAGGAGGGGTTCTCCTCTTACGTGTGTATGAGGTAATCCCAACATCCAACACGCACCAGCCCTTCCCAGTCTGTCTCCAAGCTCAAAACACATAATACCCCATCAAGCTGTCTGCTTTCTCTCCTCATCATAGTTATTTCAGCATTATTTCAGCAGTCTGTCGCAGCATGTAATACTCCGTCTAAATTGAGAGTAACACTGCTTATCTTGTAGTTATCTTACAGTTTCTTGTCTGTGTATCTTTACGTTGTACATATTTTTTACTGGATGAGGGTGCTGGGCCTCGGATATAAGCTATGGATTTATTATGTTGACAAGTGGGAGCTCAGAAACTCATTACCACCCCGATGAGAGGAGCTTTCCACTCCTACCCACAATGCACCCCTGGAAACACAGAGGAGGGCATGCTTTTCCGGGGTCCTGGGAAGCAAGAAGGATTATCTTTAGTTTGACATGTTCAATATCCGCATCAAATCAGATCTGCTTATGAAAACATATGAAGTTACAGACAGATTCAGTTGTTGGCACATTTAGCTTTAAAATTTTCAAGTTTTCTGGACAGAACCGTGAAAGCTGCATCACAGGTTTTGTTAGATGTAATATCAGCTGGAAAATAAGACAAGGATTAGGTTCAGTTTCTGACACAGTAACACACAAGAACAGCAACCACAGACTACTTTTTGTGGAGTGTAAACTCTTAAGTTGCAAAGTGTATTGAATGTATACACCAACAATGTAGTAGCTTTGTCTGTAGTGAAACCACATGAGATTCTGCGACCCTTTGCATGGGGGATGGGCTCTGTAACGCAGGAGGTGGCTTTTGTCCCTTTGCTTACTGTACATATGAATGGGGCTGGACCGGAATGTCCAACCTCATGAATGTCAATTGTCTGAGGCCTGAGTTAAGGAGCAGGCTTCTCTGGTCGTGTAGAGGAGGACAATAGAGATAGAGAACGGGGAGATGAGGAGATAGAAAGCGAGGGAAATGAGCAGGAAGAGATGAGCTACCGGAGACAAGTGTGAAAGATCAACAGAGACAGAGCATGAAGATGAAGAAAATGGAGTAAAAAGCCACCGGGAGATGCATGATCCACTCCTGCAAGGCTTAGCTGGTCCTTCCTCAACCACCACCTGCTCCTCTTTAAGCACATCCTGTCATTTAATACCTAATCCCTTCATTCACTCCAGTGTGTTTACTAACCATTGTCTCAAGTCCCTTCAAGCTGTGGTCAAGAGGTGGTTCAAAAGTTCGCAGTGTGAGGAGGGCACGCACTCACAGTTACAGAGGGCATTGTGAGTGCGTTCGCCCCTGCCAAGCAATTGTCTGAGACAGAGAGAAATCCCTGTGCATGCAAGTGAAGGAGTCTCAGGGCTCTAGCTTTTGAGGCCAACGTCAGTTACTTTCTTTGATGCAAACAAACCAATATTTGGGGACAGATAATTGGACTACAGTGCACTGTAACAGGACCTGCATTACCACTTAATGTAATATAAAGAGAGAGATCTGTGTTTTATTTAGTGTCATATTATAAAGATTGAAGCATGATCCTTTTGAAATTGGCCTACTCGGAAAACCACGTACCATCTAAACGAGTCTAAAGCCACGCTAGCAGCTCTGTCGAGCTAAAGGCTAATATGCTCACAATGACAACTCAACTCACAACTAACTGTGTTCACCATCTTAGTTGGATGTGTTAGCATGCTTATATTTCCTAATTAGCAGTTAACACAATGCACAGCTGAGGCTGATGGGAATGTGATTAGTTTTGTAGGTAAGTAGTAATTAATGGACAAATTTAAAGGTCCAGTGTGAATCATTATTTACAGACGGCAAGGGTCACCTTCTACGGAGTCCACTATGTTGAACCGCCATGTTTCTACAGTAAAACAGACACTGGCTGTAGGGCCTTTCACGTTTTTCTGGAGTTTTGCAGCCACCATAGTTTCTCCTATACACTTCACTGCCTCTTCTCATTCCCAGATTGTCTATCACAGACACCGGTCAGTCAAACTAAATGTAACTAAATCCTTCACACGGGGACCACCAAAGTTATTACAGTTATTACAATTATACCTGAGGATAAAATGAATGTCTCTACCAAAGTCCACAACAATCCATCCAATAGTTGTTGAGAAGAGTCTAAAGAGAGATGATGAGATATTTTAGGATCAAAACAACTGAGGCTGTAGCCATGGAGTCAACATTGGGGATGACCAAATGAGCTGGGGGTCTGGGAATCCTATGGGATGCTATTTTGAAGGATGGTGTTTGCTTGTTGTACAATATATATTGTACAACAAGCAAACAGG